TATTACATGATGGTGAGTTTTGATGCAGTGTTCCAGGATAAAATGATGAGTGCCATGTCCTCACATGGGAGAGGACAGAGGAAGGGCCAAGCATGTCACCAAAGCGCTTCGCTGGGCAGCTAATGCCACTCAGTGGTGCCACATGACACAGTCACTGAGACAGCATTGCCATGTGATATTATGAAGTTTAATACTTGGTGCATCAACTTTCAATGTTAATTTTGAAAGGACACAAACGTTAAAAGTGCAGCATATGGTGAGCTTGTTTTTAATTACTTGAAGAACTGCCAAACTGTTTTCCATAGTGGCTGTTTTGCTTTATATTCCCACCCAAACTCTGGCATATGGTAATTATACTTTTAATTACTTAAAGAGCTGCTTACTGTCCTCCATAGTTCCTGTTCTATTTTATATTTCCACCAACAATGATGTACAGAGTCCCAAATTCTCCACATCTCTATCAACACTCAATACTTGCCACTTTCTGTCTGTTGTAACTGTGCTGGTGCTTTGGATGGCAGCGGCACACTGCGGCTTTGCTTTGAGTTCTTCCAATGGAGAGTGACATTCGGCATCTGTTCTATTGCTTGCCTGATTTTAACCCAGTTGACTGCTTGTGCTTTTGGGCTTGGGGACTCTTCACATATTTTGGAGATCACCCTGGACCAGGTGTAATTTTTAAAAATTTTCTCCCTCCCCACAAGCAGCCCTCTCACCCTATAACTACATTCTTTGTTGTATGGTATGTAAGGTTATTTTTGAGGATATTATTGGATGCATGACACAGCAAAAGATAAATGGTAGATGATCCTTTTAGGTCTGGGCGGGAGGCATGATGAATTCCCAACCTGATGCTTTGCTTTGATCTTGTGGGTGGTGGTAACAGTGAGATCCACAGTTTCCTTGTGTGGAGGGAAAGCACAGAAACTCAGAGCCACACTGTGTGGGAGGGCTGTTGCTTGGTGTCACACTGTGTGGGAGGTTTGTGCTTTCCTCATGGTCTGCTCTCTTTGAAATTATTTTTCATCCATGTTTTAAATATTTCATATTTTTGATATTTTAGCTGTGCATATAAAATTGTTTTCAAGGGGGAAATTCGTGTCATTTTTAAAATAGTTGCCATTCAAATTAGGGATGATGAACCAGCATCTATAAATAATCCCTGGCAGGGGGCAGGACGTGGTACATATTTTTGAAATGAAAGACTCCACCAGTCAGTCCAACACTGATTGATATGCATGGTTTCCTCTTTTCCGATGAGAAAACACAGACACCCATAGTGTCAGATCAGAAGGCTCATTTTCATGAAGTCACTGTATGCTCTAAAACATTGTATGAGGTCAAATCACATCTTCAAGGGTGACTTAGGAAGGCTAGATGGACAGCCAGGAACATGGAAATAAAGAGAATTTACCACCTAGAAGCATTGTCATACTGGCTGAGTACAATATAGCATCTAAATAGCAAAGCAGAAAATTAAGTCTGAAGTACAGATGTGAAGCATAAAATGGTCTCACATATCCCAGGATGGGATAATTCTAGCCTTGGAAATATGTACATAGTTTGAATGGCTGCAGAAGTTCCAAGAAAATCTTCCAGCCAGATTCTGCCTAAGTGAGTTTCCTCTGATGGCTAATATTAGGTAGAGCATTCTAGCATCAGAGACTGAGAAAGCAATCAATCTAGGAGCTTTTACCAAGTGAAAACTATAAAATGTGAGGGAAAAAGAAGAGAAGCTAGAGGGGCCGTAGCTTAGTTGCTAGAGTGCTTATACCCGTATTTCTAGGGCTAGGACTGTGGAGGTGAGTGGATCAGAAGGCCCAGGTTATAAACAGTTCAACAGAGTGAGTTCAAAGCCATCCTGGGATACGGGAGAGCTTGTATCGGTCTAGATAGATAGATAGATAGATAGATAGATAGATAGATAGATAGATAG